ATGGGTTCGAATGTGGGTATGTGGGTCTAGGTGTTTGATGTGAGGATGGTGAAGTTAGCAAGTAAACCCAAAGGCATGATGTTGACTGAAATATTCTGCTGGACAACCTTGATTATGCTGATTTAGTAAACTGAATGAGATGGAGTGCTTAAAACATATATCCATAAACACGAATAAAAGAACACACTGCAAGATGTAGTGTCACAACCGCTTACCAGTTTTGGGTCTAGAGCAGCTGTACTTCAGTTTATACCTTCTTTTGGTAAAAAAATGCTTTTCAGGTACATCATCGTTGCCATCAACACCTTCTGCTCTTCTACGAACAATTCTGGAAAAGAAATGCAGCAGGCGTGATAACGACAGGAAGGATTCTCCGCTTAGCACTCCACGTACACCGCGCACAATACATTCGACCCCAAAGACTCCAGGTTATTTTACTGTTCATTCCAATAAGGATGTGTGTGAAGACTGCTTAGTTAAGAATGTCCCTTTTTTGATGAACGAAGCCCGATTTATCAAGACAAGAAAGATTTATTGAGCTGGCTTTTGTTACCTTTCATCGCAAAGTAACAAAAGCCAGCTCTATAAATCTTTCTTGTCTTGATAAATCGGGCTTCGTTCATCAAAAAAGGGACATTCTTAACTAAGCAGTCTTCACACACATCCTAAGCAGTCTTTGCGATGAAAGGTAATAAAGGTCAAGACAGGTGTAGTTTACTAATCCTGGTAACTCGGAGAAAAGACTGAAGTAGATTCCATTTCGCTTTCACGAGTGCGGAAATCCAGTATTTTCACGATTTGGGAATTGAATCAATTCTTACAACACCTTTTAAGATGTTTTCCTTCATCAAATTAAACCCACTAACATCAGCTCACAAACGATCCAGGATAGATATTTGCAAGAAATATCCATGTTGGTTCATTTGGGGGTTGGTGTTAGGGGATTTAAGGATGCAGGAAAATATCTTAAAAGATGCTGTAGGAACTGAAGATTCCGGAGAATTTGCTGTGTTGTTTTTCAAGAATTATTTGGTGTTCGCTAAGGTAAAATCTATAAAAAACGATGCAGAAATTGGTGAGGGGGGCTGGGGAGGAGAAGTTATGGGAAATGAATGAACTAAGGATGGTTCATATGGAAAATGCACAATGTAGAATCTTAGTTCGGCTTCTGTTCGATGTTGCCTCAGGCAGTGTAGGGTGAAATTTCGAAATTTTACGAACAGAAGCCAAAAAGATTGAGTGCTAATAAAAGAAACTAGAAACCAGGCTGTGATCTATAATTTTCAGCTCGTAGTCATCATATAGTACGTTTAGTTATTATGCATTTTTGCCTATATGCAAAATGCAAAACCGTATATTGCGACGACCCTGTCTGTATGTGTCTGTGTGTTCGTCTGTCCGGGTATTTCAATTCGGCAATCAAGCAAGTCTCAGCTCCAAGATTTTGCGAGTAGGTTCCCCGGCCAGGTGCCACCCCAGAACCGCGGCACCAACCCTCACGCAAGTCTGGGCCCCGCGTATGGGGAGGGGGGGGGGAGTGAAAGTTTTGGCGCTAAAATTGATAACTCGGGAAAGAGAAAAGATAGAAAGCTGAAGTTTTGGGGTTTTGTTCTTCGTCCACATATAACTCAAAGATTTCAAATTCAGCCTCCAGATGTGCGTTTTTTCGGCGTACGGTCCCGTGAGATTTTTCGGCGAGAAAATGGCTAACTCGGGAAATAGCAAAGCTAGGAAGCTGAAATTTTCAGGGAATGTCCCTAACACACGTACGACTTAAAATTATCAAACTCGTCCCCCAGGCATGCACGGTCCTCACGTACGGCCCCGCGAAATTTTTTGGCGGGAAAATAGCTGACTCGGGAATTAGCAAACCTGTGGGACTGAAATTTTCTGGAATATCCCTAGCATAAATGCAACATTAATCTATCAGATTCATCCCTCAGGCATGCACGGCTCTCACGTGCGGCCCCGTGAAATTTTTTGGCGGGAAAATGACTAGGTTAAGAAATAGCAAAGCTGGGAGGCTGAGATTTTCAGGGGACATTCCCAGCCCATGTGCGACCTAATGTTATCAATTTCAGCCCCCAGTCGTATGTGGTCCTCACGTATGGCCCCGTGAAAATTCTTTGGTGAGAAATTGTCAAATTGTTAAACCACCAAACGGAAATTATTTCCTTTTATGCAAAATTCACGAAGATTTGCGGTAATGAGCGCACAAGGTAGGTGTGAAGAAGCAACCGTTCATGCAGTTAATTGCTTCAAGTTTGATGCAAAAACGTATGATCGCACCGGCTCGCCTGGTGCGTTCCAGCCTGGGTTTATTATGCGCTTTGTCGTGCAGCGCTAGAACGCTGCAACAGGCAGCAAAAACGCATATTGCAACGGCCCTGTCTGTGCGTGTGTTTGTATGTTTGTGTGTGTGTGTGTGTGTTCGTCTGTCCGGGTGTTTCAACTCGATAACCATGCAAGCTATGAGGCTGAAATTTTGCCAGTGTGTTCCCCAGCCAAGTGCCACCCCAGGATCGCAGTATCAACTCTCACGCACCTTTGGGCCCCGTGCACGAGCGCGTGAAAGTTTTGGCGCGAAAATTGATAATTCGGGAAGGAGAAAAGCTAGAAAGCTGAAACCTTGGGGTAATGTTCTCCACCTGTGTGACAAAAAGATTTCAAATTCAGCTGCCCAGGACTGCCCGGGGCTTACGTACGGGCACGTGGAAATT